GAGGTTAGTTGGAAACATGGACAGAGTGGGTGGGAATTCAGAGACGGGGTGTTAATCCAGCTCTGTCCTCTGTTGAAGCCTTGGGCAGGTCACTTCGGGGTTGGGGCGGGGTCCACGGCACATGCGCACCACAGCCGACCGTGCTCGGTAAGGAGTGGCACTTTTTTAAAAGTGCGAGCCTGAGGCCAGCCAGCAGCCAGCAGCCCGTCGGTCCCAACCTGGTCCCGCCCGTCCCTGCCGCGCGCCCCGGTCCCACACCAGTGCAGTTCAGGACAGTCCAGCCCGCACCATGCCGGTCAAAGGAGGCACTAAGTGCATCAAATACCTGCTTTTCGGCTTTAACTTCATCTTCTGGGTGAGTGAGCGCGACGACCGCGCGCTTCTCTCCGGGGCCACCTGTCCGCCCCGGGGACCCTGTCCGCAGTCGCGAGTACCGGTAACTTAAACTGCCTGCCGGGTAGACTCTGGGCAGAGGAGAAAGGGCACTGCGGCCGCCAGCTGGCTGCTCGGCCGGGTCCGGAGACGGGCGGGGCGGGTGCGTTTGTAGGGGTCTCCCCGAAGGCGGGCAGGCAGGAGAATGCGGGGTCTCCAATGCGCTGGGGCGTAGAGACCGGCCCCCCGCCGCTCCTTCGCTAAGGGTGTGGGCTGGGGTTTGTGTCTGCCTCTCTGAGTACGGTGAGAGAGGGAGTGGAACTGCTAGGGAGACACGGAGCACCCCTCTCCTGGGAACTCAGGGCCCTGGCCAAGGAGGACCGTAGCGAAGAGTGCAGTTCGTGACCGAGGTGGGGGTCTCACAAGGGGCATCGCCGCGATGTGAGGATGTGAGCTCCCTAAAGGACTTCCGTGGCTCGGGGGAGAGCTCCGCCAGAACTGTTGGCACTTTTACGCTGGAGAGGAAGGAGTGCGGGTGCCCGGGTCCCCGTCCCTAAGTGAGAGTCGGGACAACCCCCCTCCACCCTCGAGGAGGAACCTTCAGCCCCCTAAATTCTCTCAAACTTTTATTCTGAGCCGCCGTGAGAAAGTCCGAGCTCCCTCGGAACTACCTGAAAGACTAGCTTGTCTTGATTTTTTTTTTCAAGGGCGATAAGTATCTCAACTGGAGAGAGCGCTGGGAGAGTTGGGGAGAGGAGGGGCGTATGCCAGTCGGCACTTTTAGTGGGATGAGTCTGTGTTTCTCCATTTCCGGGAGAGATCAGGTGCCGGCCCCAGGGCCCTCCGGCTTCACCCCCTCCCCCACCAGCCCACCGAGTGGCAAGGCAGGGCAACGTGAGCGCATGTTCACCTGTAGAGGACACCTGGCCGTCCTCCAGGACTCCCGCTGCTGGCCGCACTCAGCCTCCTGGCAATGGGAAGCCTGAGGGAGGCAGCAGAAAAGGGGAGTGTCTCCTCCTCCCCTTCCCTTGGAGGATTAAGGGACCACCCCGAGTCAGACACAAGGAATAGGGGACCTTTGTGTTCTGGTTTTGAGGGCCACATCCCCTGCACATAGATGGACAGTATTTGCCTCTCTGCAGTCAGAAAGGAGTTTGGAAAGGCAGCCCCTGTGCCACGCAAGAGAGATGGCCGTAAAAACGGGCATGCCACCAGAGGCTTATTATAAAAAATGTACTTATTCACCTGGAGCTGGTCTCTGAGATCCCCACAAACCTCGGGCAAATCTCCTGAAATTTAATCCTCTCTCCAGAGCTGACAGGGTAAGATATTGAGTCACCACACCCAACACATGTGCTAGTATGGATAACACATAGGTGTGCCCGTGCCCAGCCCTTGGCCTGCTTTAGGGAGACCCTCCTGCGGTGGGCACCCTTCATCCCCTCCCATGCCCAGTTCCCAGCACCCAGCCCCGATAGCTGCCAGGCTTGCAGGCTTGGCTTCCTCTTCTCATCAACCCCCAGCACTAGAAAAGAATGTCGAAGGCGGCCCGCCTCACCCCACCCCGCCCCACCCTTGTCCTTTGGGCAGTTTTCCTCTCCCCTCCCTTGCAGTCTCTCTCCTGCCAGTCTGTTAGTTAGTCCTCAGCCCTCTGCCTAGGCTGCATGAGGGTTTGGGGCTTGGGTGAACCACAGACTACCAGTGTGCCTCCATAGCCCCATCTTCCCCGTGGCACCCGTGGGAGCCTGATGGAAGGCTCCCAGAACCACTCCAGTATCTGCTCGGCCTCACTGTCTCCATCCTGCTACCCTACCCATATTCAGAGCTGCCCCTGCCTAGACTGGGTGCTGCTGGTCAGGTATGCCATCTGAAACAGAAATGACTCACTTTGGGAATGTTTGGGTTTAGAGCTAGAAAAGACTTTAGAGATTATTCACAGTGAGAAAGCAGAGAACCAGAGGGGTGGTGATTTGCCCAGGATTACAGAGACCGAGCAGTACTATATATAACCTCCCGGTTCCCTTAATCTAGTCTTGTCCATCACAAAACCAACAAGGGGACCTGGTAATGGGCTTATGTGGGAGATAAACAGTAGCTACATTTTCCTGAATCATTTGTTCAGTGGTCCTGTATCAAGGTCCCTATAGAGATGAAGCCCTCATCCCCTAAGAGATGATGGAATAAAGGAATACTGTGATCCACTCGTGTAGCGTTTTATAGTCTGCAAAATCCCGAGCCCCCGTGATACAGCCAAAGCAGGAAGCATTATCCCCATTTTACTGATGACCAGGAAACTAGTCCCCAGAGAGGGTAAGTGACTTATCCAGAGTCATGTGGCAGGATAGCATTAGAAGTCAGTTTGAAAGAAGATCTGGATGGCTTCAAGTCCAGTGCACATTCCACCACAACCATCCGTACCCAGCTGGGTGGGAATGGAAGGAGGGTGAGAACAAGCTCTCAAAAATCTTTTAAGGGAAGTTATGATCTAAAGGAACTACTTGGATTGTTATTATGTCAACACTTCCCTTTCTCTCTTGAGACCAGGAATGTATAAAGTTGGCATTGGGGACCTGATGTGGGCCTTGAAAAGCAGGAGTTCTGAGGCCAGGGGCCACCAGCACCTCCTGAACAGAGGATGTGGAGAGGGTGGTCTGGCAGGGATCCACACAGAAGAGGCCCACCTCAGTGGCCGTGGGACTATAGGGGCAGGGTGAGTGTGGGGGTGTACCTCTTCCCTGGCCCCCACTCATCCCTGTGGGACCCTCGGTGACAGCCAAGCCTGCACTGCCTGCCTTCTCCAAGCAGGGCCTCTGATGCCGAAACCAAACCAACAGTCTGTTCTTCCAATATCCCGGAATCCTAACTTCCCAGCTCTATTTCAGTTGTTTCTGTATTTCCTTCATACCTGCCTGACTGTCCACCCCCACAGAAGTTGAGAGGGAAAACCCCTTACTGATGTCAGAGTGGTGGACTCTCAAACTATATAAGTAGGGGTAGGGCTAGGGCCAGGTCAGGAACGTCTTCTCATTCTATCCCCCATATCCCTCCAAATCCTACGCCTGCCTTGAGAGGTCCCAGTTCCTACCCCCCACCTCCCTCTGCCCCTTTGCTCACTACCCCTCACTGATGGAATAGCAGGGGACTTCCCTTTCCCAAGAAATGGTGTCACCTGAACCTAATGGAGGTTAGTTGGAAACATGGACAGAGTGGGTGGGAATTCAGAGACGGGGTGTTAATCCAGCTCTGTCCTCTGTTGAAGCCTTGGGCAGGTCACTTNCACCTAGCCAAGACTGGGAAACATAACAGATCTAACTCATACATAGAAACAAATGCAGAGAGGCAGCCAAAATGAGGAATCAAAGAAATACATCCCAAATAAAAGAACAGGAGAAAACTCCAAAAAAGAACTAAACAAAATGGAGGAAAGCAAACTGCCAGAGACAGAGTTCAAAACCATGGTTATAAGGATGCTCAAGGAACTTAGTGAGCGCTTCAACAGAGAGATAGCAAGCATAAAAAAGGGATAACAACCATAAAAAAGAACCAGTCAGAAGTGAAGAATACAATAATTGAAATGAAGAATGCACTAGAAAGAATCACCAGCAGACTAGATGAAGCAGAGGATGGAATCAGCAATGTGGAAGCAAGGTAGCAGAAAACACCCAATCAGAACAGCAAAAAGAAAAAAGAATCCTCCAAAAATGAGGATGCTTTAAGACACCTCTGGGACAACATCAATTATAATAACTTTTGCATCATAGAGATACCAGAAAGAGAGAAAGCAAGGGATTGAGAACCTATTTGAAGAAATAAAGACAAAAAACTTTCCTAGCCTGGTGAAGGAAATAGATACACAAGTCCAGGAAGTACAGAGAGTCCCAAACAAGAGGAACCCAAACAGGCCCAAACAAAGACACATTATGATTAAAATGACAAAAGGTAATGATAAAGAGAGAATCCTAAAAGCAACAAGAGAATGGCAACTAGCAACTTATAAGGAAGCTCCCATAAGATTGTCAGCTGATTTCTCAACAGAAACTTTGCAGGCCAGAAGGAATTGGCACAAAATATTCAATGTGATGAAAAGTAAGGACCTACAACCCAGGGTACTCTATCCAGCAAGACTATCATTTAAAATCAAAGGAGATGGAATCTAAAAAACTGAATGAATGAGGGAAGTGGGCAGAGGTGGTCTCGGAAACATGGAGGAGCAACTGATGGCTGTTGGTTGGGAGTGGGTGGGGATGGGGGAGAGGGGGAGGGAGTTGGACAGCATAAATACGTAGCTGCAGTGTTGCCACAGGGANGAGGTTAGTTGGAAACATGGACAGAGTGGGTGGGAATTCAGAGACGGGGTGTTAATCCAGCTCTGTCCTCTGTTGAAGCCTTGGGCAGGTCACTTTTGTGCTCCAGACCTGTTTCCTCATCTGTAAAATCAGTGAGTTTAGAGCAAAGGGTCTCAAAGGGTCCCTTCAAACTCAGTCTATGAAACCTCCCACCCCCACTGCCTACAGCAATAGGACTTTCCCACACAACCCAAAATCGAGTCAGGAAATGGAATGTGCAGTGGGTACCAAGGCTCGTCTTCAGGGCTTGGCTTCACTTGACCTTGACCTCCGGGGCCTGATCTTGTGTCTCTTTCCTGTTAACTTCACAGTTCCCTCTGCTACCCCTGGGTGGGGTCTCTCTTGGGGTGGTCTGTTTTCATTGCCCTGAGCCATTGTGGTCGTTCAGCCTAGTGGTCAGAGCATCAGCTCTGTATTGGATTTACCCATCACCAGCTGGAGCTGGTGCCTGCCCCATGGGGGAGGGAGGTGAAGTGAGGGGAATGTATGTGATGCATTTAGCAGGCTAGTGCTGGATGCAGAGCAAATTTCCTGTAGCTATTGTTATTCACCAGTTGAAAAAGGGGGTGGGGAGCATAGAAGCAATTCCCTGAGGAGTATGGAAGTGTACCCCACAGATTAGCCTGGAGCATAGTCC